ATCTATATTGAAGCTTCAGATTTGTACTATAAATAATAAACATAAATCAATTATTGCTTCTTATTAATTAATTATTCTTGAAAAAAACTTTGCTTTATTTTTTTTTTAACACGCGTCTTTATTTCTGTCCATACGCAATCTGTGCATTCCTGATTTGATTCGAGATCACGTGATGGAAAACAATCCCGTCTTTTGACTTCACCGTATGCCAAGGGATTATGAGGTAAGTAGCGTATCAGAAAAACTCTTGGCTAGCGAAGATGATTATTCCGCTACTGATTTTTACCTATATATGTGCGTTAGTCAAGTTAGCTAATCCCCGCCCCGAAAGCTAATTCCCCATCCTTCGTAATCCTCTGTTTTTTAACTTTTGCACTGGTATAATAAAACAGTTAAAAACTATATCATTGAGGGAGTTAGCAAGATTCAAGTTCGGCTGCACAGCGGGAAATAATCCTGGTCTTAGGGAACTGGAGTCTTAGTTACTCCCTCAATGATATACTTTAACTGTATAATAACAGAATTCTCTCTCTCTCTCTCTCTCTCTCTCTCTCTCTCTCTCTCTCTCTCTCTCATAATTGATATATCAGACTACTAGTATCTTTTTTAAAAAATGTTTGTTTTCCCTCTCCTGATCGACTAGCTGAAAATGCCATGGCTCAATTTTTTGAACCTCAAAGAAACCTTAGTTAATTTTTTAAATCCTTATTCCTGGTTTATTTCATTCCCTTAACATTTATGTTGAATTTTTCTAAGAAAAAAAGAGAGAGTTTCATACCCTCACTGCGATGCGCCTCTCAGGCCGTCAGGCCTTTGATTTTTGTTTATATTTATTTTAAGTGTATAACATCCACAACTACCAGGGTATTAGAAATGCGCATTTCTGATCAAGTGTAAACAAATAGAACGAAAATAAGCACATATTTACATTTTAGGAACTTCACATATATTTCGAACACAAACAGTGTTCCATACTTTTTTGTGTACATGAAGTTAGTTTTTGAATAAGTACACGATACATCTAAAAAAGAATAATTATTCTTTTTGACAATAAAATTTTAAAAAAAAATATAATTCTATTGTTTTGTTATTTGTATGAATAAATAAAAACCCAAATTCATGCCAATAGTATTGCAACCTTTATTTAACATGTAAGGATGGTATTTGACCTGTATTGAAGTAAAAACATTATTTATGTGGAAATCAAAATGTATCATATTTTTGATTTAGCTATGATTGCATAACAAACTACAGATTAAAACAACATCTTTTAATGCTAATTGGATATTGTTTTACAAGTTGACTGTCATGAAGCTCATATAGAGAAAGTAGATTGTGCAAATGGGTCATTCTAAATTCATTTCGATCTCTAATTTTAATCTTTCGATTTACTAACTTTCCCCATGTTGCAAGTATTAGTTCTCATCTTTCTGTAGAATGACTGGACTTATACCTTTTGATCATAGAATTCCTGGGATGGAATGAAATATTACTTTGAAATGACAACATACTTTAAAATGGCTTCTACCATTTTAAATGGTCCAGGGCATGCTTCCTTTCCCAATTATTATGAAATACCTCAAATTCATGCAGCAACTAGCTGCAATGCAAAAAAGGGAAATTTCTATGTTGTTGGGGCTCTTTATTAAGAAACATTCCTGATTATCTAAGTTCTATATTTTTTATATTCTCGTTATAGACTAAACAATACATAAAATATATCCACTATATGTAATTAGTGATTGACGTACAGGATATACATAATTATATAATAATATATATATACATTTATGGTATCTCTCCATTATATAAACATACAGAGACAAAATATCTTTAATTCTGTATGAAGTTTATCAGAGGTCAGAGGTCAATACGTGACCTAATCACACGGCGCAATGATATCTACCGGTACATAAATTATAAAAAGGCCTGCTCTACTTGCTTTTCATGTATAAAAATGAACAAAATAAGCAAGTAAAATGATAATTATTTTATTTAAAATGTAAACAAGTATTTCATACAGTTTTTGGGCTATCGATGCAACCTGTGTACATAGAAAAAACGAGGAGCCTAGCTTTTGTTTACATTTTTCTTCACTTTTGTCAGCTGCACAGTCTCTATAGCTAACGTTCATCCTTATTTTTTGGGTAGACCTTTGGTTAAATTTTCATGAGAAACTTTTATTTTATCTTTAAATTTTACTCACGATACATGTGTAAATCTGTTGAAAAATATCATTGCAATCATGCCATGAACAGCTGCCAAACACCTCGGCGTTTTCGTAGTTCAATGTAAAGCTTTCGCCAGTGTCTCCGTGTTTATCAGTGTTTTACGATAAGTTTGCCTTTAGTTACTGAAACCGTAGAATGTTTTTAATCAAATTACAAATAAACTGTCTCGGACAGGTGTCTCAATCCATCGGATCCATCCATTCCTTTCCGGCGACCGAAATTCCTCCAACTCTTTATCATCAAACTTCGGGCGTGTTTCTTGTGTCTTTTCAGCATCGACTATCATTTTTCACGAATAAAAATATTCCCAGACAGCAATCTGTTCACTATTACTGATCACAAGTAGCCTTTCACAAAATATTCCCTTCGAAATAGATTCCTTAGCCTATTGCATTCGAAGCGTAACCGCCATGCAAGCCGATTTACACCTTGCATCATTTTCAAAATCTACGACCGACCGTTTGTGCAATAATTTAAATTCGAAAATATTCAAATTGTCTCTCTCAAATATTAATGTATATATAAGTAATAAATAAAACAAGTTTATAAACTTTAATGGGAATTGAAGTGGGTCGGTACGTTATCAAATCTTCTGAGACGCCCTTCGGCATTCACAGGATTCGATCACGTGACCGACCCACTTCAATTCCCATTGAAGTTTATAAACTTGTTATTTATTTCTTAAATATATATATATATAATACATTAGCAATAATATACCTCATTTACAGCAGCTTTTATGTCAGGATGCCTTTCTAAGCTTTTTAGTAGGGTCTAGGAATTTTAGAAAAGATGATTTGGGGCAGAAATAAGTCAGCAGCCACTTTCTTATACGTTTATATCTTATTGTCCCCCACGGAAAGCGGGGTATATCAATATCAATCCGTCTGCCCGTCCGTCCGTGTAGCTGTATTTCTGTCTGTAGCACTTGCGTTTCCAAGCGCTATCTCGAGAAGCTTTTGAGCTTTTGAAATTAAATTTTACATGACAACTTCCTATCGCCTAAAAAAAAACGCCTATTGATTTGAGATAGATGTCCGTTTGTCTATCTGTCGGCTGTCCGTCTAACTGTAGTACTGTCTATGTATTTTAGCTCACCTGAGCCGAAGGCTCAAGTGAGCTTTTCTGATCAAAATTAAAAAATGTCCGTTGTCTGTCGTTGTTGTCGTTGTCGTCGTCGTTGTCGTTGTAAACTTTTCACATTTTAATCTTCTTCTCAAGAACCACTGGGCCAATTTCAACCAAACTTGCTACAAAGTATCCTTGGGTAAAGGGGATTCAAGTTTGTTCAAATGAAGGGCCATCCCTTTTCCAAGGGGAGATTATTATGAATTAGAGAAAAATTAATGGCATTTTAAAAAAATCTTCTTCTCAAGAATCACTGGGCCAGGAAAGATGAAACTCATGTGGAATCATCCTCAGGTAGTGTAGATTCAAGTTTGTTCAAATCATGACCCCCGGGGCTAGGGTGGGGCCAAAATGGCCGACCAAAGTTTTACATAGGAATATATAGGAAAAAATCTTTAAAAATCTTCTTCTCAAGAACCACTGGTCCAGGAAAGATGAAACTCATGTGGAATCATTCTCAGATAGTGTAGATTCAAATTTGTTCAAATCATGACCCCTGGGGCTAGGGTGGGGCCAAAATGGCCGACCAAAGTTTTACATAGGAATATATAGGAAAAAATCTTTAAAAATCTTCTTCTCAAGAACCACTGGGCCAGGAAAGATGAAACTCAGGTGGAATCATTCTCAGATAGTGTAGATTCAAATTTGTTCAAATCATGACCCCTGAGGCTAGGGTTGGGCCAAAATGGCCGACCAAAATTTCACGTAGGAATATATTGAAAAAATCTTTAAAAATCTTCTTCTCAAGAACTACTGGGCCAGGAAAGATGAAACTCATGTGGAATTATCCTCAGGTAGTGTAGATTCAAGTTTGTTCAAATCATGACCCCTGGGGCTAGGGTGGGGCCAAAATGGCCGACCAAAGTTTTACATAGGAATATATTGGAAAAATCTTTAAAAATCTTCTTCTCAAGAACCACTGGGCCAGGAGAGATGAAACACATGTGGAATCATCCTCAGGTAGTGTAGATTCAAGTTTGTTCAAATCATGACCCCCGGGGCTAGGGTGGGGCCAAAATGGCCGACTAAAGTTTTACATAGGAATATATAGGGAAACCTTTTAAAATCTTCTTTTCAAGTACTTCAAACCCATGATTAGTGATATTTTTCTATTAAATGGAATCATCCTCAAGTAGTTTAGATTTTAATTTTTTTCAAATCATGACCCCTTGGGGGGTTTAAATTCAAGCCCCCCCCTCCCCCAGTAAACTTTCAGTTCTGATCTGAAATGTGCTTTTTTTCTAGCTGATGTGCTCAGGTGAGCGCTGTGGCCCCTGGGCCTCTTGTTATTTTTTGTTTCTGAAATTCTTTCATTGATTTTCTTTGTGTTCTAGTACTTTCATTAATTGTTCCAATTGATTTCATATTTCCATCATTAATATTTGCAGAATTCAGAAGAAGAGGGTTGAAATGAGTCTTAAAACCGTTTACGTCATCCTCTTATCAGTCTCTTTATATGAAGTTTCGTCATCCAGCTGTGAAGCAAAAAATGGTGATCAATTGTTCATTTTTTTATTGCTTTTCATGCATACCATTTAATTTCCATGTCAATTTTTAAGATTTTATACTCGCATTGATTCTTATTCATGTAAAATAATATTTTTCTTTTTATCAAAATTATGCTTTATTTATCACTTGAAGGAAACGAGGATCAACATTGCTCAAAGAGATATTCAGGTTTGTATAAAATCTCAACATGCATGTTCTGGGATGTCCTTTCACTGTTGAAAATGCATTTAATAGCAATTTTACAAAGTTGGGAAAATAATGTTTAAGGTCCAAGTTTAAAAGTTTTAGAATGAGTGATTTTTTGCTGGTGGATTAAGTAGGAGTTTAAGAGAACAGCAGAAAGTGCGGAGGTGATTGTGATCAAACAGACTATTCATAAACAAAAAATCTAAAAGTGTACCTACAAAATCTGTGTCACCTGTTTTTTGTTGCATCACGTGGCAGTGTCATCGGAATTTAAAATTTACTTGTGCACTGCAATAAAAAGAAACGTAGACAATATATACAGCAGATGACATTAGGAATGACATAAACGATAATCATTATAAGCTGATAGTTATTAACATTGAGGTGCAATTGGGTTAATGGAACATTTTGACTTCATAGTTTAGCAGAGAGATTTTACATGTACGTGGTTTCGATTAATGAAAATTTATGAAATAAAACAAGTGACTTGCAATTAATTTTCCTGGCAGAAATATGCATATATACAAAAACCTGAATCTCTTTTGATGCAGACAATAATCAATATGTTTTACGGTGTGGCCGTTGGGGCGAGCCCAGTTGTACCTTCAAAAATACAACTTAAACGTTGATCCGCCACTTTAAACGGCAAGTCGCACGAGCTCGAGACAACTAGACTGTGACGTCACACGAGAGCTCCCCGGGGTTTACGGAAACAGCCGAGCGTCTAGTTGAAACTCTTGACATAGTGCAATTTTTGTCGAGTTATTTTTTGTTTCTTTTAAAGATTTCAAAGGATTTTAAAGATTACAAACTGAAAGCCTTTCATGCTTTACGTTATTATTTATTTATTTATTCGCGCAAAGGATTGGGAGAAAAAGGAATTCTGGGTAAGGTTTCACACAAAAATTTGCCTGACGTATCCATATACAGGTGTCATAACAGTATTACACTTTGGTTCACGTCAAATCATGGCTGACGCAAAATAATCCCGGAATCTTCCCTTCCGATTCGGGCATTTTGATACGAGACTGGAGCTGAATTTTTTTATGAGATGAAAAACAACATGTAAACTTCCTGTATTGACCAGATTTATTAAAATTTAGGGCGTGCTGATTTTTCTATATACTGTCAAGAGTGGGGAGTGATTAGGCCCTGGACTAGATTTTCAAGCACCTGCTCGACTTCGACCGAAACAAACTTGCGTGCCTTGCTGGATGGCTATGTGTTTTTTTGGTACTAAAATCTTTATAAAGAATGATTTTACAAGATCTGAAAAGGAAACTTCTCAGAAGTTTGTTTTGAATTAGTTACATCTACTCAAACTTGCGCATTTTTGGTAAGAATATATAGCAGAAATTAATACTGTTGTGACACCTGCAGATTTCATTCCGAATATCCTCTGTTATTACACGTTAGTCTATTGAGCTCGCTGCGCTCGCTATTACTTATTAATAAATTCTCTTTGCATCAACGATAGGTGGAAACTCGGAATAATTTGCATTACGGGCTATTAATTGAAACAGGATAATTTGCGAAGCCCGTTGTGCATAAATCATCCAACGTTTCCAACCATCGTTGATGTCCTTGGCAAACCCAATAAACTAGACAGTGATTCATTGTATTTACATTTAAATGTGAATAAAAATTGTAAATATAAATTTCAAAAAAATTATAAATACATTTAAAATACACGAGGCCACTCTCTACCATCGGCTCATACATTCACTTGAGAGAGTAACAATAAACGACAAGAGCCCTCGCATGTTAATAAATTTCAATTGTCCCCGTCTACTGACGTCAACACAAAGACAGCCGCTCGAGATTGACAAGCATGTGAGGCTCTGGCCTTTTTACCAGGCGTAATTTACATTCCGGTTGAATGATCGAAAAATTAACTCACCTAACTTTAAAGAGTTATCACAGAGAAAACAATTAAAAATGGAAATATGGTCATTTTAATGCATTTTTTAATTAAAAAACTTCTCAAGATCAACTTGGCCAGAAAAAAATGAAATATGTGGAAGCTTCTTACATTGTACATAGCGTAAGGGTATATTCAAAGAACAAAGTACGGTATTGGCCAAAAAATGCCGAATGTCAGACCCGCTCGGTTCAAAACATTTTGAAAAGCTTATGATTTGTAGAATTAAATGATATATAATTTATATACCTGTCTCAAATGTATGCATTGTAAAAATAACGCTCAATACTGTACCTTTTATAGCAAAACGACAAGATTTTACGAAGAATTTTGACGCGACGTCATACATTTAACGTGTACAATAAGCGTAATCTGAAATTTCAACTTATTCGCTAGGACACAGTTTTCATTATAATTGAAGAAATTAAGTTGTTGATTCAATAATACTTTTCTCGTGGATATTTACTTTCATTTTATTGCAGGTCTTAATAAAAATAATATCAGCTATTTCTGTTAAATTAATTGAGAAAAATTTAGTGAAAATTATGTACTGATGGGAAAATTCGAGTGTCCCGGGCTGTCCTTAGTACCAAAAAAGTTCAATTCTCAAAAATATGGTAAGTAAGGTGCACAAACAGTTGAAAAAGAACTCGAATGTCAAGAATATTAATATTTATATCTATTAGAACAATAACGTGGAAGACTATGATTATTTAATGTACGTATATACAGGAGAATTCCTCCTTCTTATGGTCAATTTTGCTAATAAAGATATTAAAACATACAAAGAAGAATGCGAGAAATTTCGATCTTGATTTAAAAAACCTATCAGCCTAGTTAACTTTTAATTATATTATGAGTACATGAAAACTGATTGTTTTCTGTGATATATTCATTTATACCCTGCTTGGTGACAGAGGAACACTTGAAATTTAAATGCCCCCCCCCTTCCCTCCATTATGAGTTGAATGAGATCATATAATTTATAAATACCTTACAATATATTTTGGTTTTAATAGGACTGTAAAATTATAGCTAAATAGACTGAAAATGAATTATCAGTAAATGTTGTAAAATTTTGTTTGGAAGGGGGATTGGATTGCGGGGCCAGGGAGGGGGGGGGGTATACATGTAAATCGAACTTTGGGTTCAGACTGAATATCATAACAGCAGGTATTCTTTCAATTCGCTTTAAAAGTTATAAAACCTGTTCGGAAACTATTATGATTTACTATTTAGCTGACTACTTGATAATGATTTATGCAATTTTTTGTTATTTATTTATTTTCAAAGTGAAACTAAAGACATTGAAAATGTTCGCGTTTTCTGGGACAGCCCTCGTAAGTTTACATATTCAATACTTTTTGACAATTTTGTCGGATAAGTACATGTTTAATCGCTCATGGATTTTCTTTTGAGAATCCCCACTTTCTAGCAGCCGATGCAATATTTATTCCAAATATATGTATTTAGTACAGTGTTCGCATATTTTATTAGGTTTTAAATGTTTAAGTTGCTGGTGACACTTTTTTTGTTGTTTTTATTTTTCGCAAAAATTCCTTGCTTGGTAAAGAATGTAGCATCACAGCTTCCTTGTATCTTCATTTTCTGACAATTGAACGTGTTGTATGTATCATGATTCTCACAGTAAACGAAAAGAATCTTAAGGGCTAATGTACAATACAATACAGACGAGTATTTCCTGTATTTAAAGAATATACTAAACATGTAATATATGTATTGGTCCAAGAGAAGTCATTTTAGTAGGGGGATGGGCACAGCTGAAAAAAATAATGCTTTAGAAAATTTAGTAGTCCCTATCCCCAAACATACCTTTTTTTAATTTTAAGGAATTAATGTAATATATAGTGAGCAAAAACAAACAAACAAACAAACAAAAAACAACCAACTATCTGCAATCCCCTTCCCGGAAGGACTGATCTTTCATAAATTGCATGGCCCATGACCCCCCCCCCCCCCCCGGCCATAAATAGGAATTTCCCTTTCTGAGAGTGTTGAAACTTTTTATTATCGAAAAAAAATTGAGTTGCGAGCTTTTCTTTCAGAAGTAGTAGATTGGATTTCCTTATTGTAACATGTAATGCCTTTGTATGTCCCAATTCACGCCATACCGTTTTCTATCGTACAAAATGCATAATGTTATGAAGTGGTGGCATTTTATCATACATAAAAACATGTACTAATATTTGGTAAAGATAGTGGAAGTATAAAAAGTAGATACGACTTTTTCTATATACATGAACTTCGTGATCACAAATTAAGGAATGTGATTGTGTATGCTTTTGGACATTACGGATATACCTGGATATAGGTTTTGAAATACCCGTATCTGTGAACATCAATCCAACTGACAACTTGCAAAGACGATCTGCTTTCCTTCGTAACAAAGATTCGGGAGGGTTTTGTAAGACTTTTTTGGTAACGGTTTCATCTGTATGACTCTCTACTAATCTGAAAATCCAAGGATGAAGGACAGGAAGCCTTTAGCTTGATCAGATAATTCAAAAGCTGCTGATTGTCGCTGACCATTGTAAGATTTTCAGAATGCCACTAGCATGGGTACAAGTCTTTTTTTTTTTTTTTTTTTTTTTTTTTTTTACCAAATTAGCATCCCCCTTAATCCCTCATTATTAAATACAAGTTGATTTAGTCATGTCCTGTCTCTTATTCACGAAAATCGCCGACATATAAAGCAGTGACGTACGGCAAGTATTTTGCTTTTGAAAGGGGGCGGGGGTAGAATAAAATAAACTTACCCTGAAAGATCTTGACAAGCGATTTGATTTGGAAGGGGGCTTAATCAAGTTCAAACTTATCTTCTCTCAGTACATTTTTTTTACACAACTTTCAACTTTAGGCTGCCCGAAGTTCGTATACCGTGCACGGAGGTCTCGGAGAAATTGGCACTCGGAAAAGTCAATATATTTTAAGTGTTCTTTTACTTTTAGCAAAACTATACATTCCGTATATAGAAATAGACAACATGTGAACCCCCTGAGAGCTAGTCTATTCTTTCATTTAAAGTGACAAGTTTACTTAA